CTGAGCTTTGCTTTGCTTTGCTTGACTGGTCTTGTGACCCCTTGCTCTCCCCCACTTTGCCTATGGGGTTGTGTCAGAACATATATGTAGCTTATGCTGTTGTGTAGGCTACAGTGGGGTATCCCATAGGGGGTACAACCCAATTAGGGTTTTGCTATTTGTACCCAACTCTTTCATAGTGCATTCATTCTCGTTCTATTTTCCACAAATCCAAACCACAGAAAAACACAAATTCTTGCGCACGCTCATTTCACACATGCAACGCACGAACACATGATGGGAGGCAGACAGACGTGAATGCAAATGATAGCATCACATAACAATCACAAGCAGTGGTGGAGGTCAGGCTGGCCGACTGCGACCACCCTATCCGCGATGTGAGTTGCACATTCAAGTCGCAAGGGGGGGGTGCCCGTTTCTGAACGCTCCGCTCATCATGTTCCGTGCTTGTATGCAGAAAGTGCCGGGCACAGTGTCGGACGGGCATGTCGGTGCCGGCGTGCTTTCCGCGACGTCGTTCGGGTGGGTAGCAAAACAGATCGACCATCTGATAGGCGAGAAGGGTCGTCGTGGGGTGAGCATCGAGAGCACCGGGATGAAGGGGCTGAAGGCTTTGCGCGACAGCATGGTTAAGTACGTCGGCAAGGTCATTGTCGTAAAACGCACCGCGACGCCGACTTCTCAAGCCGCCGGACCCGCCGACAATGCCATAGATGACGACGTCGCGGAAGGACAGAAGGCGCCCCAAGGTGCAGTTGCCGCCCAGCATCATGGGAACGCGAGGGTGCATGGGGAAGGTGGAAACGGTGGAGGAGGCGACGCAGAGGCAGGTGCAGGAAGGTCGGAAACGGAGAATTCGTCGTCGTCGTCGGAGTCGGAGTCGGAGTCGGAGTCGGAGGAGGAAGACGAGGCGGTGAAGCGTAAGGACGAGGAGGAGTATGAGGAGGAGGAGGAGGAGAATAAGGACGAGAATGGTGAGAAGTGGGAGGGAGGGAAGGATGAGGAGGGGGGGGATGAAGAGGTGGAGTTCGTGGTGGAGTATGTAGAGGGTACGGTTGAGGCGGGAGCGGCGGAAGAGGCGGTGGGGTCGGCAGATCAGAGGAATGAGGAAGAGAAGGATGACGGCGCGGGAAATGCTACGAGGTCGGCAGATGTGGGGAAGGAGAAGGGCGAGGTCGGCGTGGAGGCACCTGGAAATGGCCAGGATGAGGCGGCCTGCGAAGGAGGTGGGAAGGTGTCGGTCGACGCCGGCGAAGGGCCGAACAACACGGGCGAGCAGGAGGCCGGGGAAGCACCTGGTCGGCAGGGCCCAGAACTGGACGACGTCGAGCTTCTGCGACGGGAAAACTGGTTGTTGCGGGCGGAGAACGCTCGGCTGGCGTCGTTGCTCGATGCGGAGCGGTCCCGGCTGGACAGGTTTTTTGTTGGGGTCAGTCGACTCGTCGACCACGTTAAAGGGTTGGCAGAGAAGGTCGACGACACCGACAAGTATGCCGCGGAACAGCTGCGAAACGCGACGGAGGCCATGTCGAAGACCATCACGGGCAACATCTCCGGCAGCTTTGACGAAGCGTGGAAGTCGATGAAGACTTTCGCGGAACATGCGACGGAGTGGTTGGAGGACTTCGACAATCCGGAGGGTCGTGTCGCGTATGCACGAGCGTTAGCGGTCTCCTCCTTGGCCGAACACGTGGATTCGGTGGTGGGCGATGCGAAGAAGGGGTTGGAAGAGTACATCTCGAACCACCTTGCCTCCGCGCAGGTCAACATCGCCACCGCTTTGACCGCCAGGCTCGCCGTGCCGCCGCCGCCACCGCCTCATCCCACGCCGCCCGCCATCCCAGAAGAGATTTTGAAGTCGTTCAAGGCCGACATCCTGAAGGCGGTGATGGAGGCCACCCAGCAGTCTTTTGTTGCTTCCGGGATGAAGATCATGACAGAGATGATCGGCACTGTGGCGCCTGGTCGACGTGGGTCGTCGCCTTCGGCCAATGACGCCGATAACGCGCAAAGAAAAACGGCCGAGAAGCAGGGCCATAAGAGGACCGGCGACGGAGACGACAAGGGGAGCTCGAAGCGGAGCAAGGGAGCGGACGGTAGTTTCGGGTCGAAGCCTGCGCAAAAAAGCGTGGTCGACCAGCTGAAGACGAAGGCGGGGTGGAAGGTGGTAAGGACGTCGCACAGCAAGGGAGGCGGAAGCGGGGGAGCAGAGGGTGGCCCTGCCGACGGGGTTGCCGCTAACCTAGCTGCTCCGACTGGCCCGCCTTTGGTCGCCGAGCAGACCCATCCTCAGGCGAGCGGTGGGAAAGGCGTTACCGACAAGGAGGTGCCAACTGCTCAGGCGGCGAATGATGGTGACTCCGGAACCACCAAGGGACCACCCGTCGCGGCGGCGGCCAAGCCTGCTTCTGCTACGGTTGCCGGCACCACCAAGTCGAGTCCCCGTAACCCCCTTGCGGCTACAAGCGCGCCTGCCGGCCAGTCAGGTGCGAACAAAGATGGCGAGGCTGCTCCAGCTCCAGCAGCCCCGACTGCCGCCAAGGTTGTCGCGAAGGTTGCTTCGGCTAAGGGTGATGCCATGGCATCAGCTAAGGCCCCCCCCGGTGGTACCGCGCTCAGAGAGATGCTCCGCCGCATGGAGGCACATAGCAGGGACGTGCAGCAGCATCCCGTGGTCGACGCCGGCCTTCCTGGAACAGCACGCCGCTCCGTCACTACGCAGGTTGCCGGCAAGTCGTCCGGTGCCCCACCTGCCGCGCCTCCGGTGGCCGCCCCACCGCCTGCGGACCCCAAGTCAGATTTTCTTCGCACCCATTTAGGCGCACGCAAAGCAACTGCTCCGTCAGTGACCCTGCCGGAACTCGGCAAAAGCGCGACGCCGATGTCGGTAAACGCGACCGCACCCACACCAGGTGCATCTGTGGTCGATGTGGCGGCGGAGAAGGGAGTGAGTGCAGCGCTCGCCACCGGCGGCCGCGCAGACAAGCATGCCGACCTCGCTGTCGTCATGGCCCATTTTGAGGCAGCAAAGCGGCCCGAGCACGCCCCTGTTATGGCCATCATGGACACGGCGCATGTGGTGCCGTCGGCGACCCACGGAGGGGGTTCGACGGAGCAGACGGCCGCAACGGCTGCTGTCGCTGAGATAAATGCTGGACGGAAGGAAAAGGACGACAACGGGAAAGGGAAGGCGGTCTCTCAAAGGAGCACGCGGGCGATGACTGCGGGGAAGTTGACGTCGGAAGAGAAAGGAAAGAAGGCAGAAGGGGAGAAGGACAAGACGGGCGGCAAGGGTAAGCCGGCGAAGAAGAAGGAGAAGGCGGAGGAGGAGGACGAGGAGGGCGGCGAGGGAGATAAAGAGCATGGACGCAGGGGTCATGGCATCCGCCGAGACAAGGCTGGCGACGGGCAAGGGTGGGTGGGCGAAATTAAGGTACACGGACAGAATCGGTACATCGGCAAGTCGAGGGAGAAGATGGAGCTGGCCTACGAGCACGCGATTGCGTTCGTCGTCTACGACGGCTACGTGAGCAAGGTGCTCATGAAGGAGCTCACCGTCTTGAACCCGGGGGAGTTGGATAAATGGAAGGAGGTGTGGGCGGAGGTGAAGTTGTTGCCCACTGGGATGTGGACGGTGATGTGGGCTAGAGGCTTGTGCCATCCGAGAGCAAGGTAAGACGGATACTGACGTGCCGAGTTCTGTCGACCAAGTTGGTGTCAAAACGCTGAAGTCCTGTCGTTTTAATGTGTTTGCGCGGCAGGTTCGACGATATACTCGGCAGGTACCGTGGGTACGCAAGTTCGGGTGTTGCGCTTCATGACGTGCTCCGGCCGGCGACCTGGTTCCCCATCATCGAGGACACGGAGGAAGGCAAGGAAGAGACGAACGCTCTCATGTCGGCGATGGTAAATCGCGTGTCGATGTGCGCGGCGTATGGGAAGGTCGCGGCGAGCGCGGCGTTTGGGAAGGTCGATGCGAGCGTGGAGGGGAAGGCGGACGAGAAGATGGAGATGGGGGCCCAGGCGTTAGCGGCATCGGCATGCGCCATCTGGTGCTTCTTGGAGACGGGGGCGTCGGTGCTCGGTGCTGTGGGCGAAGGGAAGGCGGCGGCGATGGTGGCAGGTGCGGGGGAGGCGAGGGCCAAGGACTTCAAGGAGGTGATGCACACGGTGATCGACATAGCACGCAGCAGGCAGGCTCCCGCTGGGGAGGTTGCACATAACGTCGCGCCATCGCCTGCAGAGCCAGGCAGTTGCCAGGGCCTTCGCGAAGGGAGTTGTGGAAGTCGAGGCCGACATGATCGCAAGAGCGACGGTCGAGACCTTGGCGTTCTGGGGAATGTGCCCCGTCGCCGGGCCCAAGCTCAAAGCGCAGGGCATCGATGTGCCGTGTGACGCGAGGATGGAGTACGATATGGATCACAGGGGGAGGAAGGGGGAGAAGGTCAAGCAGAGCAAGGGCAGCAGCAAGAGGAAGAAGAGCAAGCAGGGCATGGGCAGTACGGATGCGTAGTTGGCGGGCTGCGGTGTGCAGGGCACTATTGTATGGTTGGCGCCGATGGCCAAGTTATTCTAATGACTTTTGTATCGTAGGGCACGAATCTTTTTCCGTTTTTAGTAAATCACTGTCCACATTGAAACTTGCTAGCCGACTTTGAACGATGCGCCTTGTCGGCGCATGTGTCGACATCAAAAGGAACATCCTACTCGGCGAGCAGCGATGATAGACGGGGTAGACACATGCTATTCCGCGACGAGATATGTCGGCGAATATGTCGACGCCCTATCGACATGCAATCGTGCGAGACGTCGACATGAATAAGGCACAATGAATTGCAAACACATGGTGGCGACTATGTCGGAGTCCGACATATCTGGTTCGGATGTATGTGTTGGATCATGTATGTTCGTGTTGCATCACCATCAACAAGTACAATGGGAACACATATGTTGCTAAATTAGGGCATCAACCTACGCTAACACATATGCACCGAGGATGTTCATGCCGACTTCTTGCGCTTTGATGGAGGACGCTGCGCAGGTGCGGTCTGCTTGGCCAAGTCGGCCTCGGTCTTCGGCATCTGCTCCTCCCAGGTGTCTGGAAACAGGCGGTCGACCCACGTCGTCGGCTTCAGCTCCAGCGCCACCAGCGCACAGGCGAGGCGTAGCTTCGAGACCACCTTGGGGCCAAGCCCCTTGACGCCCATGCCAGGCTCCTTGGACATCGTCGGTGCCGTCTCCGGGTTGAGCACCGTGAGGGCATCGCAGAAGGTCCCAATGCCCGGTGCCCGCGATCGTGTTCAGTGCATCGACCACGGCTTCGGTGTCGGCATCGCCGTCGCTCGCGCGTAGCTGGCGCACCGCATCCATGGCCTTCAGCATGCGGCGCACCCTCATGTTGAGTGCACCCTGGGTCGCGCCTTTGAGGAGGGTGTGGCGGTCGATGAACCCCGGCTCGGCGACCCTGTCGCAAAGACGACGGGTGTCATTGGCGGTGGCGGAGTTCCAGAGGCGCCAAGCGTCCCGCACGGTCTTTGAATCCCGCCACGGTTGCACCACGTTGAGCTCGTAACTGGCCTCCTCTGCCGTCTGGGGGGGTGGCGGGGGTTTCCCATCATCTCTCTTGGCTCCGGTTCCCCCTGTTGGCCGAATCCGCGGAGCCACCCTCGCCCGGAGTTTGATCGGTCGCCGACGGCGGCGCCGCCGGCATCCTCCGGGCTTCTGACACACGGAGTGCCTCGGTGAGTCGAGCAAGCTCGGCGGTGAGCGACACGATGGTGTCGTTTTGCTTCTCGATCGTCTCCTGGTAGCCTAGCTTCTCGAGCGCCGAGCGCTCGACCTCCTTCTTCAGCGCCTCCTTGAGGGACATGTTGTGATACTGGGGTGTCCATGCGCACGGATATTTCCTGCAATGTTGAGTGTGCGGAAAGGCGACAAGAGGTTAGAAGTCATCGGCTAAAATTCAACGACGCCGACATGGTCGGCGACTCACCTCCGGCTGAATCTGAGTTGGGTCCCGGCGCCTTTTTGATCGTATCGGTGTCGACCGACTCGACCCTTTTTCGCCCAGTGCTGGAAGAGGGCAATCCTGCAGAGCTTGGAACCTTGGACGTACGGGTGCCACGGTGTGCGGGACGAGCTTCACCGCGAGGTCCTCGGCGACGATTCGTCGGAACATCACGAGGGTGCGCAAGAAGTGCACTGCGGCTGCATCGGCGTCGCTCCGTTGACGGCACGCGTCTCCGCCGCAAGTCGGAAAGTGGCGTGGGTTAGTAGGGAGTTGGGCAGCCAACTAGGCGACGACGACTGAAAAACATTGTCGGCGTCGCGTGACATACATCGCGAAGCATAGCATCCCACGCCGGGAAGATGTGCTCGGCGAGCAGGTCCAGGAGTATTGTCGGAGGGCTCGACCCTGCTGCGCCCCAAGAAGTAGTCTTGCTTGAGTCCCGAGTAGCCGGCCTTCTGCATCACCACCCCACAGGGAATGGCCGTGATGTACGCACGCTTCATCTTGTCGAGAGCCCAGTGTCCCAGCTCGGCGATCTGGGCGCGCGGCGTCCCTCCGATGGCTAGCTCCTGC